GAGGGCGTGGGTGAGGAACGTTCACGGCTTTGGTTTGGCTTTAGCGCTTTTTGACATGAGCCTCACAATATCACTAACACACACACACACATCTGTGTGTGTGTATAAGTATGTATTTATGTATATGAAATAGAAAAAAAAGCTGAAGTAAGAAACATGTTAAACACAACATAAGAGACTTCCCTTTGGAAAAATACAAGGGAAGGCTAACCAAATGGCCTGCTCATTTATTATTCGACAAGGAAACTGATCTAACCTGAAGATAATATTCTCCCGCAACGACACTGAAGGTGGATGTGGCCATTCGGAATGCCAAAATGGGGACGAAAGGAGTTTCCTTTGAAGCTCTAACATTGCTGTGTAGAGTTTTACTACTGTAACAATGCATATGAAAGTTTCACTCTCTTCCAATTATTAAAATACAGTTACATTAAAAAAAAGCCTAAAAGTTTTACTCTCTTATAATGGTTAAATTGAACTGAAAGGTTGCACGGATTTAGGAGCACAAACAGTCACACAAAGGAATTCCCTCCAATGCTTAGGGACCGTGGGTATAAACGGGAATGATAATGTTTGTTATATTATGGATGTCAGCCATAGATTCTCCAGAATCTATGGAGAAGAAAGATCGAGAGAGAGCAAGAGAGTGAGTGAGAGAGAGGGAGAGAGAGAGAGAGAGAGAGAGAGAGAGAGAGAGAGAGAGAGAGAGAGAGAGAGAGAGAGAGAGAGAGAGAGAGAGAGAGAGAGAGAGAAGGAGGGCATGAGAAAGAACATGAGAAAGAGAGAGAGAAGCGAGAGCGAGAGAGAACAAAAGAGAGAGAGAAAGAGATTGATAGATAGATATATAGATTATTAGATGAATAGATAGAGAGAGTGCGAGGGAGAGAGAGAGAGAGGGAGGGAGAGAGAGAGAGAGAGAGAGAGAGAGAGAGAGAGAGAGAGAGAGAGAGAAAGAGAGAGAGAGAGAGAGAGAGAGAGAGAGAGAGAGAGAGAGAGAGAGAGAGAGGGAGAGGGAGAGAGGGGGAGATAGAAAGAGATAGAGAGGGAGAGGGAGAGAGAGGGAGATAGAAAGAGAGCGAGTCAGAGAACGAGAAAGAGATGATAGATAGAGATAGATTAGATAGATAGATAGATAGCGAATATGTGCAAATGGGTTTATGTGTCGGCAGAAAATTATTTTAAGTATTAGGTTCACACACTTTGAACGTCTACTAAAACAATAAAAAAAATAAACCTGATGTGTGGACCTAAAATCTATAGTTTAATAAAAATCTATCGACCTTAAAACAAGCGAAAATGTCAACATTTTGAGAAGGAAACACACACACGAATACTGACAATGATGAATAAATAGATAATAAAAAAAAATAAAAAATCAAATGAAAACTGAAGTTCGTATTTTTCTTTTAAAAAATAAGGTTTTAATCGTTGCCTCAAATGTTATTAAAATATAGGGAGAATCGATATAAAACAACCACAGAAAGAAAAAAAAAGTGAGGATATGACATGGTAAGAGGAACAATATAAAGGAACGATAAAGATAAATGAAAAGAAGGAGACGAAGAAGAGGTAGAATAATAATAATCATAAGAAGAAGAAGAAGAAGAAGGAGAAGAAGAAGAAGAAGTAGAAAAAACAGGCAACAACAACATGAGGAACAATATAAATGAACGATAAAGATAAATGAAAAGAAAAGAAAAGGAAAAGAAGAGGTAGAAGCAGAAGACGAAGACGAAGAAGAATAAGAATAAGAGAAGAAACAGGCAACAACAACAACAAAATCGTTGAGGAGGCGAGATTTATGAATCTTAAAAAAATCCAATTATAAGTGATTCACACCAGTTTGCAAAACTTCCATTTTTAGGAGATGATTTTTTCAGGTAAAAGCAGCTGTGAACATCAAAATAAACAGTCACACTGAACACAATTTATAATTTCTTCTTCACTTATCCTCTTTCTCCTCTGCCTTCCTATCACTCTTATCCTCTTCATCCAATTTTCTTCCACCACCACTACGTACAGAAAAAAACGTCTATTTCTTCTAATTCTTCTTCCTTCCTTCCTTCCTTATTCTCTCCCATCTTTTTCCACCACGTACAAAACAAATGAACAGATTTCCTCCTCCTCCTCTCCAATCTTCAAAAAAAGAAAGAAAGAAATGAAAAAAAAAAAATCTCTCCTTCTACTTCTTCTTCTTCTTCTTCCATTCCTTCTCTTCTCTCCTCTCCTCTTTCGACCACTACGTACAAAGAAGAACAAAGAGAACTGTCCAACTCACCTTCTTGAACACGAATGGCGTAATGGGCAGCGAGACCGCCCTTATATATCCCCCCCGCATCCATGTCGAGGATATCCACTTCGTGTCCTTAAAGCGCCGACGTCTGGACCTCCTACAGGTAGTACCGTTGGACAGGCGCATCCTCCTCCTCCTCCTCCTTCTCTTCTCTCGGTCGTTGTCTCCTTTTCCTTGGGCTCCTGTTTCCCTTATTCCGGTTATCTG